GGCCTCCAAGATATTCCTCCGTGTGTGTGTGTGTGTGTGTGTGTGTGTGTGTGTGTGTGTGTAGAGCACAAAAATTAAGATCAGAAGACAACTTGTCAGAGTGAGTTATTTCCCTCTACCTTATGTGGGTGGGGGATGGGACACATATTGTCAGTCCTGTGGCAGGTACCTTTACCTTACCCTTGCCCACATGAATGAGTCCATCTCCCCAGACTATTCATTTTTTCCATATTTAAGACAGGGTCCTATGTATCTCAGGCTGGCTTCAAACTCATTACATAGGTAAGGATGCCTCTGAACCTCTGACCCTCCTGCCTCAATCTCCTGAATCATGGGATTTAGAAATTCAAGGGAACGATGTCTGTACATTCTCCACTCAGATGAAAATGGCATCCTCTAATTAATGGAAGACACACAAAGAAAGGGACTATGAATGGCTTTTACTTATGACTATTATATGTCTGTGGCAAATAAAATACTCAACATATAATAGGCAACCAGTGGATATTGGTAGAATAAACTACCAATCCATCACTCTAGCTTAACGTGGATTCTATGTCACTGGCTGTAAGTACAGATAAAAATCAGTTTACCAAGGGCAGTGGCAAGTTAGTATTCAAACAAATCTCTATAAATATATCCTTTCAAAAATATCTTAAAGGTCCAGCCATGGTAATCTTTCTAATCTCACTTCTAGAGAGGCTGGAGCAGAGAGATCCCGAGTGATGGGCCAGCCTGAGCTACTTACTGAGACCCTGCTTCAATACAAAACAAAACAAAACAAAACAAAACAAAACAAAACAAAATACTGCAGAAGAGACCCTGGAGCTTCCAAGCTCAGAATGGAGCAGAAAAAATAGGAAAAGATGAGAAATGTCAGAGTTTCAAGGCAGATCAAACACTTAAGGGCAATATTTAACTAATAGTGGGGAGTGTAAAAGAAAGTGTGACCACTGGAGAAATTAGTGAGGAGACATATGAACAGACAAAATGGACGATTCCAATGCTCTTTGTCTGGCAACTTAAAGGATTTAGAGTTGACATAAACAAATAATACATCCTATGGTAGAGAGAGGGTGGGAAACAAAAGGAACAAATTTTGATTTTGTACAACTATCTCTTTAAATGTACATGATATTCAGTGAGAGGAGCCTACATATATTTTGATATTTAAAATGACCTTAGGTTTCTTCCACTCTGAAAGGAGTTGATTTGTAAGAAATATAGAATTTCTTAAGCTAAATGTCATTGTTATTTTTCTTCAACCATCTAATAAGCATGATTTCCAGGCTGTTTTTTCTTTCTTTCTTTCTTTCTTTCTTTCTTTCTTTCTTTCTTTCTTTCTTTCTTTCTTTCCTTCCTTCCTTCCTTCTTTCATTCTTTCTTTCCCTTCCTTCCTTCCTTCCTTCCTTCCTTCCTTCCTTCCTTCCTTCCTTCCTTCTTTCCCTTCCCTTCCCCTTCCTTCTTTCCTTCCTTCCTTCGTTCCTTCCTTATTTCTTGAAGGGTATTTTAGTTTCTGATTATTTTCTTCAAATTAAACTTGATGTTTCCCCTTCTCATAAAACAGCACACATACATATAGTAGTGTTGTCCAGAATACTAGTCTCATGTTCAAAAGTACTCCCAAGTAAGCACATTACATGAAGTCTCCAATTAAGGGGCAAAGCTCAAACTAAACAGTAATGCTCTAGTGCAAAATATGTAGGCATGGAAGACGACACAATACACACTCAATAAAAGTAGCATGCACAGCTCTATTCACAGGATTGAGGATATCCATTCCCAGATAATGTGCTTAGAGAAAGACTATATAAGCACCCAAGGGAAAGATAAACTTATGAATGCAGGTCTCTGTCTTAAGTTTGCAGTTATGCCCTTTTTCACTACATGCAAATAAAATATAGATGAGTCCTCAAATGTTTTTTTTTCTTTCTCTTAGATTACAATGTCATCTACAAATAATTTTTAAAAACATAATATAAAAGTGAGCATGGTGGGGTGAAGGCAAAAAAGGTACTTTGTTTTTCTTATTCTCATGCTAGGCTCATGAAGGTTACTACGGAAAATGAAGCATTTGGTGCTCTCTATACTACTGAGAAGTGGTTTAAATGTATGTGTTTGAGCTAAGAAAGACACACAGGGTTTTTTAAATTTATTTTTTGGCTGTAACACGGTTTCCAAAATGCAATGTTCTTTCTAGTAAGCGCGAAGAGCACTCATACTTTTGGAAATATTAAAAAAAGAAACAAACTTCTTTTTGTGTCTTGAGGACTTATGCTTCTCTGGGGGAAATAAACAGATTCTTCACATGCATGTATAGGCAACAAAACCGAGCTGTGACTCTGAGGGCTGGAAGAAGCCTGGTAAAGCTGAGAGGCTCTGAGCACGTGAGACTGTCTGCCCACATGCCTTCTACTTCTGCGCTTGCTCAGGCCTTTTACACACACTCCAGGAAGCATGTCGTTCTTCTGAAAACTACCTTTAAAAGTCCATCCACTAGAAGACTGGAATCGACATAGCTAAAATAGTTGGGAATTTAGTGAGATTTGAAAATACCTCCAATCCAGGGGTCTTTCCGTGAGCCTCTTATTTTCTCCAGTTCTGTTTTACTCATCTTGATTTATTCAAAGTTTCCAGAACTGCAAAACTCTGTGACTGGTTTTTATTTTATTCTTTTATTTTACAGACAGAGGTTTTGATATATTGCCCAAACTGGCCTGAAACTTACATTGATCCTTATCTCTTATCCTCCCAACTTCTGGGATTCTCAGCAGAAATGGCTAGGTCCAAGGTGCCTGCAGTTTCCATAAGCTCCTCATTCCTTCTGGGAGGAGTCCAATTAAAAATGCAGGTCTCAGGCTGAAATGTTCTCTCTCTCATATTAATAATGGTAAACTTAGTGTCTCCTTCCACATCTCTGAAAATACTGGCAACCCAGAGTGCTCAGGTAGCAAAAGCATAAATTCTTATACTGATTCTTAAGTACCTCCAGTCCTTTGGAAAGAGTCTCTCTTCAGAAGAATACAGAATGCTCCACCAAAGAAAGAGTTGAAAAATCATAATAGTAGTAATAACTAGCAGCAAAAAGCCGCACATGCTACCACCGTCACAACAGAACAGCAACCGAGCCCCCTCGTCTATGCCCATGCAGCGTTTTACTTTAATTCCAATATCATGTGATAGGAGCAGATGTTTCCGACTTGACACCCATTTTTCCCACCAAGGAGCCAGCATTCAGTCATTTCTAAATGTCTTCATTTTTATTCTTTTGAGACAGGGTCCCTTGTATCTCTGTGGGGCCTCAAACCTCCTATGTAACCGAGGGAAACTTGAACTTCTGATCCTCTTGTCTCCACCCACCATGCCAGTTTTTTTTTTTTCAGTTCTAGGAATCAACCCCCGTGTTTCATGCATGTTAGTTAGGCAATCACTTACCAATCTAGCTATATCCCCAGCCCTAGATTTTTAATTCTACCTTTTGTTGAATTCTACCTACTATATTTTGTCTTGGTCATTCTGGGACAGAATGGACAACTATTCTGTCACTGACCTTTCTGAAGTATTCCTCTCCCTTTCTTCTTTAAACTGAAGGACTCTGGAACTGTGCGAATTAACAAAACAAAACAAAACAAAACCCAACCGTTCATCTTGCGTTGTTCAGAAAATGCACACAACAAAAACTTGCATGGGTCTGGTTTCTCTTTGTGGTTTGGACATTTTCATTGAGCCTATACCCGGCCTTGTAGGTCAGTAAAGAAAAGTCAAGGCTAGAGGATTCCCCCACTCAGAACCTTTGTGCTGGCTCCTTCTGTCTCTCCATAGGAGGAACGACCTGTGGCCTGACACGTCCACCCATCCTACCCCAGACAGGCAGATGAAGGTCTGCTCACTGATGCTCTCCTCGAGTGTCTAAACCACAGGTCCGTGGTTTCATGTGCATTTCTCAAAGGAAGTGTTGAGCAAAGAAAATCAACTGGGTTTAGTAATGCACAATCCCCCCTCCCTGCCCCCACTGCAAACCGATGTTTTCATGAGCCAGTTTTGGGGGAAAAGTTCACTGTGGACATTTGCCCTGTATATTTTATCCTTGCTGAGATACTGGGAGAGCTGCTGATCTTAAATATTGCCGTCTGGCACTTAACGAACATGTACCCTTCATAAAGAACAGAGCGATCCACCAAGCAGCTTTAAGCACCTTCATTTTGCTTTTAGAAAATAGCTCATTTTTCTTCTTCTTGCTACATGTTGCGGCCCAGCCGAAACAAGGGCTTTGCTTATACCCACCAACAGAAATATGTAGCTCAGATGATGGAAGATTAGGGAAGACTCCAGAAAAGCCCTGGTCAGCTGATGGTTATCTGCTGCTTTCAAACTTGGCCCAGATTTCACCTGTCCTGAATTTGTCTTTTAAACCCCAACATTCCGTTTTAGGATTTCACCGAGTTCAAATCAGTCTTTCAGGATAGGTGCATTTCTTTTTCTAAAGCTGAGTTTAAATATCGAACTTCGATTTCAAGCCAGCCATTAGATGAGGAAAAATTCAGAATTCCTTTCTAAAGCACATACTAAAATGTGGTCTTTAGTTTTACCTCAGAGGATTGCCCTAAACTGAACTTGTTGGATACTAGGTAGTCGATCAAGTTCATTTTGATACCTACAGCCAATGTGCTGAACCACCACCCTTTATTTTGAGATGATGCGCAATAAATTAAATGTAGATTTATTAAAACCCATCAAGTTTCCCAGCCCCCTTCTTCCAACAATGGAAGCTGCTCCAAATGCAGATATTTCCCTTAAATCTTTCACGTAACCCGCGAGGAACTAACTCACAATCACCTTCAGATGACCTTCCAATCTTTTGCTATAGATATTATCCATACCCCAGTGCGACGATGTCAAGGCTCTTCATGTTTGTCCCCAGTGACCAAGAGGCCGGCATTTTTGCAAAGGTTGCAGGACCCATTCAACTAATCCCTCCAGACACCAAACAGACCCGCCAGTCAGGTTTTAAAACTTTTTATTTGCATATTAAAAAAATTGTGCATTCCAATAATTAAAATCATTTGAACAAAAAAAAATGGCACTCTGATTAAACTGCAGTTTACATCCTGTAGGACACCTTGGACCATCTTGAATTTTACTCTATATTTCACCGCCTCCCACCCAACTGTTTTCCTTCGCCAACATGCACGTTCTTTTCCCTCCCTGCCAGCCAGCCAGATGGGTGGGAGAGGCAGGGGAGGCCTTCCTGGTCAGTAGTTCAGAATCTGATGTGAAAGGGGCAGCACAGTCATTTAAACTTGATCCAACCTCTTTGCATCTTACAAAGTTAAACAGCTAAAAGAAGTAAAATAAGAAGGCAATGCTTGTGGAATGTACAGTGCATATTGGCGGCGCTCATCTCATTACGATTCGCCAGCTTGCTTCTCCTGTTCAATGGCTGAAAAAAAAAAAAAAAACCAGAAGATGGAGGCTTAGCACACTCTACAGAAACACGATATTTTCATTTAAAAATCTCTTTTCATGTTATAAAAATTCTAGGTTACATAGGTTGCTACGATGAGGAAGTCATTAAACAGAAGTACAGTTATTCAATAAATGTATTTGCATAATATGCCTATGAAATATTCCCTTATTAAATCACTAAAGCCCAGCGTTTGTTGGCTGCAAAACAGTTTTTAATTAACCTTTGCAGGCCATATTCATCATCATCAAACTGTCGGCTCCTCCCCCGCACCTCCCCCCCCATCCTCTCCGCTGCCCCTCCCTTCCTCCTACCCGCCCGCTCCACTCCCGCCCAGCCTGTTCTGAAGATGGGAGGGGGCGAACAGCTTACTTTCTTTTGAAGGCAGAGGATTTTTCTCTTGCGTTTCTGTCTTCTTCAATTTCGACTTATCGAATTTCTCGATCTCAGCCATATCGGGTTTGTCAGACATGGTTGCCGGAAGGAGCTGCAGGTAAAAAGCCAAGACCAAGGCTAAGAAAGAGCCACCCGCCCTCGCCTCTCCCAGCTCCGAAAGCACCTTCTCCTACCCCGACCAGAGGTTCCAGCTTGAAATCCTACTTCCTCCCTTCCCTTCCTCTTCCATTCCTGACTAAAGCCTTCAGCTCTTTCTACAGGGGAAAAAAAAATCTCCCTTACTGTTCCCAATGTGAAAAATCAAAGAGCGAAGGTGGCTCTCAAAGGTATTCATCACTGCGGGATGTTAACTGCAATGTTGAAATATTAAAATCGGGTTAGAATGAAGCTACTTCCAGCGTTAGTGGGGGGAAGTCGAGTAAAAACTCTTAAAATAGAGTCAAGGTCGCAAAACGCACCTACAGTTTCTACATGGGCTTGCTCCCCAAAAAGATGCCAGGCGGCCCAGCTTTCTCCTCCGCACAAAGGCGGGAGCTGACACGAGCAGCCACCGACCACCGCCCTACTCGCTTCCTCTCCTCGCTCTAGCCCAACAATGCAGCCGAGGCACACAAAGCTGCCTTCCCCACTTCTCGCAATTGCATCCTGATCTGCGTGCAGGGCCCTTCGACCCTCTTTGCACACATTTCTCTGCAAGGACTTCCCAATTTTCAGGTTACAGCTCGGGTAGGTTAAGCCTGCCAGATAACAGCCCTCGAAGCCATCAGGCGTTCAGGAGACTACAGAGCATTAGAACAAAGGATCTATTTCTGATTAATTACAGCCTCCGAGACCAGGAAAAATACTTTAGGGGGTGAGGGTCGAGGAGAGAAAACAATTCCCCTCCAAACTGCGCAGCAAAATGCCCGATTTTGTGATTTTTAAAAAAATCAAGTTCCCCTTTCCCATTACTCAGCATCTGGAAGAGTTTAGCATCCCCCCAAAATCCCCAAAACAACCTGGCCTGGGAGTAGTACCCCTTGGACTGGCTTTAAGGATGAGGACGAGCAGGGAAGCGGAGGACTGAAGGAGGAAGGGGCCCTGGGGCTCACCGGAGCGAGGAGCGCGAACAAAGGGAGTCCGATCTGGTCAGAGGCTGCTGCCGATTGTCGGGAGGGGCGCAGCGCGCGCCGCTATATGCGCGCTCCTATGTAAATGAGGTGACGTCACTGGCAGTCCCGCTTAACTCCTTCGCGCCGCGTCTCCGGAAAGGCGTTCGAAGGCCTGTCGGACCCTCCCTCCCCCATCCCATCCACCAGGGCCCTCGACCCACATTGATGGCGGAACTAGAAAAGGAACAAACGCCTTCAAAATGCACCCCCCGACGTGTATTTTATTATAACGAACTTTTGCAACAACCGCCCAAATCTGTTCTGAAGGTTAAATTCACGATAACTAAGGTGCCTGGGTGGCACCTAAGGAGAAAGGCATTCCTTTACTTCGAAACTGGCTTTGTCTGCAGCCAGCGTCCCCCAAGATAGGGTGCGGTGTCCCTCACATAAGGGCTGCTGGGGTCTGATTGCCGTGACTCAGCTTTTAGACCAGTGGACCGCACTCACCCCACCCGGCCCTCTTTGTCTTCCTCGGCTGTCTTCCCCCCCTTGATTTGAGAGGGCGATAAAGGATCCTTGAATGATTTTTTTTTTAAAGAAAAGTTTCAGCATTGAAGCATCTGTATCGTATACGATAATTTTCGTGAGCACTCGCGTCAGATAACTAATACTTGCTCATGGTAAGGTAATTGGGAGTTTTATAGAATACACAGCCTCCTCAAAAATTAACTCAAATTCAACTTCTGCTATTGAGCGACAATAAGGAAGTTGATTTCCTTTTTCTTACTTTCATTAATTAGAAGGGATTGCTAATGAGAACCAAGGATTTCTGAAGACGCCAATTCCACTCGCTCCTGCTATCTGAAGACTGAAAGAGAAGCGCGAACTCGGTTTTGAGAGGGAAGGTTTCGGCAGTTCGTGCGGATGAGACAGGTAGAGAGGTGTGGGTTTCAAAATGGCACCGGAGTCGGTGAGTACCAGGGACCTGCTTGCTACTAAAAAGTAATTACAGGTACCAAGCTTGGGTCTCCAAGAGGTGGGTGACAGTAGGAAGCTACACAGGTTCTAAAAAGGCATTGTTGGGATTCTTTCTCAGACACAGAAAACTACAAAAGATTCCTTCTCCTTTTCTGTGCCCTGGGGTGGGGGTATTTCCAGAAGCCCTTCGCTAAGCATTTTTATGATAGAGGTTTTGCCTCTCTGGGAATGAGTCAAGGGTTATGAGGGAGCCTAAACTGTCTCTGCTCCGGCAGCTTGGACTTCTCCATTTCTTCATCCACTTCCCTTTTACTGGGGAAGAAGGAGATGGGGGTAGGCAGGGCAAGGTGACCCCTCTGGTTTCCCAGTTAATGCTCAGCTTGGGCTTGTGCGGCTGCCTTCCTGCCCTTCGAATGGGGGCCCTGGACCTGTTTGAGCACGCGTGAGATGTCACCTCTCGGGTAACACAGCCCCTCCTGCCCCATGTTCACTTGCAGGGAGCCCACTGCATTGTTGAAACCCAGAAAAGATCTTGCAGGGTGCATTCCTGGCCTCTTCTGCTAGCAGCTGCAGTTACCCCAGACACCAGTTCTGTCGGTTGTTTGATTCCATTTCCCCTCCCTCAGCTGTTGTCAGAATTTCTCGAACTCTCTTTCCTCTTCACATAATCGACAAAGGAATGCCACAGCCCGACTCTTGCTGCCTCCTTTGCCTTAGGAAAGGTTACAGAAGTCATCTCGCCAGAGGAGATGGGAGAGTGGCGTCTGGAAACATCTGGAGTTTCCTCCTTTGGTAACAGGCTAGCAGGCAGCTGTTGTTTGTAGCTGTTGCTGGAGAAAGAGCAGGTGGGTGGTTAGAGAGGGAAGCCACTGGCTGTGGGAACAGAGTTCACAGTAATGGGCTTGGCTGGCCCACCCGACAGGAACATCGGAAGGGAAGGGTGCTAAGGAGAAAATGAAAGGCAAAGAAAAGAATGGTCTTAAAAGTGGTGGACTCCTCGTGTCAATCATCCTTTGCGGACCGCCTCTGTAAACTGGACAAATGACAGTCACTAGCGGTTAGAGTTGTGGGAAGACCAAGTTCTTGGGACCAAGCTTTACTACGGCAATCACTTTATCCTGCTCGCATTTCAAATGGGAAGTTGAGAAGAAAAGAAAATAATAAACGTTTTAGTGTTTGCCATTAACAAAAACCTCAGGGGATTTGCAATCACTTCTCTTATAAAGAGACATTTATATATTTCGTTGTATATTTCTACATAACTAATACATGACTATATCACTTCTCTAACAAATTACCAATAAAAATGAGATATGTTGTTATTTTATAGCCAAATAAAAATAAGTCCAATTCTGGAGACGTAACTCAGTTGGCAGAGCACCTGCCAAGCATGCACCAAGCTGTGGGTCAGTCTCCAGCATGACATAAACCAGGCATGGAATGACATGCCTGAATTCTCAGCATTTGGGAGGTAGAGGAAAGAAGATCAGGGATTGCAGGGCCTCCACAGTGAGTTTGAGGCCAGCCTGGGTTGTAAAGCAGAGTGGTCCTTGAGTCTTAGAAGACGGTATTTGCTCAATAAACCAGGCTCGCACTGCTTTGGTTGCGTCCTCGGTACTTGAATTCAGTTCCCGAACCGAAAACTCCAATAACGATGTTTACATCTCAGACAGTTGAATCTACTTAGTATTAACTTCCAGATGTCAGGGATAATTGCTGCTTCAGGGAAGGAAACATTTATAAGTAGATTAGCATATGCTGGGCACAATAACCACTGAGGTGGGAGTTTTCAATTCCAATTAAAGTGACGAAGACATGGTGAGGCAGAAAAAAAGATTGCTTTCAAAGGCACTGGTCACTTCAGCTGCAGGGTGCATTCTGCCCTCAGGGCCCTCCAGGGAAAGGCAAGCAAAGAGCCCACCTGGCAACTGCCTTGCCTCTCTCATCTACCAGGTCATGGCACCCTGTGAGACAAGTACCAACAAGGTGGCCCCTGTCCAAGGCCATGCCCCACAGAACCAGGAAGCAGCGTGAGCAGACGCTTTGTTTTCTTTTGCTTTCCAGTGTGGGCCTGGGCCCAAACTGTGTGTATTTCCAGTGATGGAGAAACAGCCATTGGAAGTCTGAGCTCATGAAAATGAGTACTGCAATTCTGAATTTATGTAGTTTGGGGCGGAGCGCTAGTCCGAAGGAAAAAGAGGAGGAGCCTTACAACAGGGATTGCAGCAAGGCTCTCGGTTATTTGCTTGTTCAAACCCCACTCCTTTTGTCTGGTTCAGGGCCTCCTACCATCTGTCCCACCTGCCTGCGGCCCACACTCCCCTGGGGTTCCTACAATTGCCACCTTTCCTTTAAACTCTGCCTTACAGCTAACCCCCGACTCCCTTGTACCCATGAGAATATAAATCCCCTTGCACAGCCCCGGGTCCCTTGGTAAAAAGAAGAAAAGACAAAGGAGGGAAAGGATCTTCAAAATCTCGTCCTAGCTCGATTTTGTAGCTCCCGGAAGCCTTTTAGAGCAGGACTCAGTTCTCACCCTTCGCAGCGGGTACGGACTTCCTCGTTTTACTACAAAAGAAACCGAGGCTCATAGAGTTTTAGCAATTTTCTCTGAATCAAACAACCAGTTTGAAGTCTATGTCCTTCCCTTGCGGCCCACTCCTGTCACGGGGTTCACTGAAAGGGATCTTTCTCCAGCGTTTTCCGCTATTCTTACCCACAGCAGCTCCACGTTGTGGCTCCAGGAAGATGGAACAAAGGGCTCCCCCTGCCAGCGTGAGAGAAATCAGTGGAGGAAAACCGGCAAGCACAGACAGAACCAAGAAGCCCCAGTGTGTGTGCAGCCCTGCCCTCTGTATTGATCTGATTGAGTTTCTGTGCCTGCTTCATTCTGCAGCTTGAGTTCGCCTCTACAACATCCCCTCCAAGTGGTTATTCAGCCTCTAAATAGCCAGGGGAACCGGCACAGAAGTGCAGAAGCTTTGAGTCTTGTCCAGAGCAATGAGTCGTTTAGTTTGGCAAGGAACCTGCATAGGAGGCAAGACAGTGGCAGGAAATGTTGAGAGGCAGGTAGGGACCAGGCTGAAGAATAATAATAACTGGAAGTATGGCAGCAGTAATAATAATAATATGATATAATTATATGATAAATAGGTGTCATATAATAATACATGCATACACGATGTATAATTTATAAATATATACAAAGGTCATAATGATATAATAACAATAAGAGCAGCAGAAAGAGCCAGCATTTTCTGAGTGTCTACTTTCTCTTGGGAGCTCTCCCTGCAGTATCCCACAAGACCTCCTTAGAGGCCCATTATGTCCCTTACGTTGTAGATAAAGGCGTTGTAGAGAAATTAAGTAATCTACTAGCAAAACCCAGTGATGTGGTTGAGATTCAATGGAGCTATCTTAGAAATGGACTCATTTATATGCTACATTTTTCTAGCATTCTAAGGTCTTCAGGCTGCCTTTGTAGACTAGCTAGGAATAAAGCTATATCCTATCTCAATAAAGCCTTCTACTTAATATACTTAAGGCTTTGGTAGAGGGCTCAGTGGTAGCTCATCATTAGGGCGTATGCGTAGCATGTACAAAACTCTGGGTTTAGTCCTCAGCACCCCAAAACAAAAACAAAAATAGCACACTTTAAAATATAAGAACTTGGGCTGGAGAGATGGCTCAGCAGTTAAGAGCACCGGTTGTTCTTCCAGAAAACCAGATTTAAGTCTCATCAGCCTCATGTTGATTCGGAACTATCTGTAACTCCAGTCCCAGGGGATCTGACACCCCCTTCTAGATTCTGGCTTCTGTGGGTACCAGACTCTGATACCCCCTTCTAGATTCTGGCTTCTGTGGGTACCAGACATATATATGGTGCCCAGACATACTTGAAATTTAAATAATTAAATGGTAGCTACTCTGTGAGCTGACAGTGGTGTCATAAGCCAGTGATTCCAGCCATTGGGAATGGAGAGAAGAAGATCGTACATTCAAGGCAGTGCTCAGCTATGGGTGTCAAAACTTTGCTTTGCCTTTTAGTTGTTGTTGTTGTTTTTCTCATGGTGCTGTGGTTCAAACCCAGGGCCTGACACATGCTAGGTAAGCACTCTACCACTAAACTTCACCCTCAGCCCTGGCAAACCTTTACTGTGAAATATATTCCCCAAGGCTCATGCATTCAGCAGTGTGCTTTCCTTGCAAGTATGAGGACCTGAGTTCAATTCCCAGAGCCCATCTGAAACACCAGGTATGGTGGTACTTACATGTAATCTCCGAACTGGGGAGGTGGAGACAGGCAGATCACGGGGGAGCACTGGCTAGCCAGGATATATTACTTCACGAGTTCCAGGCCAGTAAGAGACCCTGCTCAAAAAAAAATCAATAAAAACATCAATCAAACACAAATAACGAGGTAGGCAGTGCAGTCAAAAGTTATCCTTTGCACACCCACAGATGCATGGACCTGCATACACATAAACACACACACACACAAGAAATATAATTCCTTTATTACTAGCAGAAGGTGGTTAATGGCTTTACGCTGAAGAAACCAAGTGCAGGCCTTAGACAGTTGCTTCAGATTTGAAGGGAATGCTGACAAAGGAAGGCATTAGCTTCAGGGCTGGGTTTCCGGGTCTGTGGCCTATGTGTTAGACTGGGCTCTGCACTTGTCATGACCTCATGCATAGTGCTATACTGCCTCCATCTTGACATTCTTCATCATCTTCCATAGAGGTTGCACATGTTCCTTCTTCACAGAGTCTCCTACATTTTGAAGCCAATCCTACTCTTTCAGATTACAGATTCCTATGTGTCTCTAGTGCCGCTGCCTTGCTCTGTATCTAGGATGGGCCCACGTGCTCCTTTGACCCCCCCTTTTTTGCCTCTAGTGACCTGGCCACAGCCTCCAGTGTTGCCCAGCTGCAGAAACATCCTGTTCTTGCTGGTGCCATTCAACAAGTAGTGGTGATTTGCAAAAGGATGACTTAGGAAAGGCAAAGAAAACACATTTGAAAGCACAAGAGGAAAAAAATGGGCTTCTTAAACACAGTGAAGACTAACACACACTGAATTGGTCGCCACAGCTTTAGAGGTTACAGGTGTTGGTGTCCTTACTCACGTCCAGTCTACTTGGGAGGAGTGTGGGACTGAAGCTCTTTAGAGCTGGTGGCACCAGTGCCACCACTGGGGGATTCTTCATCCTTTTCACCTTTTGATTTTCTTGTCCTATTGAAGAGCAGCTTTGCTCGCTTAGGGCTGAACCACACTTGTGCATCACATACAACACATGTGTAGGCACATGTACAAACACACACACACAAACATACATGAATGCACTCTCTGTCTCTATCTCTCTCTGTCTCTATCTCTCTCTCTGTCTCTCTCTGTCTCTCTGTCTCTGTCTCTGTCTCTCTGTCTCTCTCTCTCTCACACACACACACACAGACACACACACACACACACACACACACACACACACACAGCCCACTCTGGAAAATCCTGGTCTTTTGATGTCTGTGAGAAAGGAGCTTCTCTATGTGACTTCCAGGGGTTCTTCTGGGAGGTTCTTGGGCTGCCTCACCAGGCTTTGCAATTCAGTTCGTCAGCTTCCAAAGGTTTCTGGGACACCGCACCTTTCACCCATTCTCTGATATTGATTGTTACAGGCTCAGCCTTTCCCCTCTAGTCAAACCTTCAGTCTAGCGTCATTACCCTTGAGGCTAGTGGCATAAGGCAGTCATTACTTGTCCCCAGGGTTTGTAAAATGCACACATAAAGCTCCCTTCCTTTCTGCTGTGTTATACTTTTCCTGTCTAAGGGTGACCTGCAATTCTCAGCTTCCCTGTGCATGGACATTGACTAATGAGAGAGGAAACCTTTCCTAGCATCTGGATCCCCATCTCTGATTCTTTCTGATATGGGCTCTTCCTTCCCATGGGAGGTAATGATACCTTACAGTAAGTAATTCATGGTGGCATTTGACTTTGTATCTCAAGTAGAAAGTATAAACCTGAATCTTACCCACTGTCAGGGAAACCACCAGGAAAATACCACTTGAGTGTCTCTACCGTAATGTACAAATTACAGCCTGGTCTATATAATCTGTGAAATCAACAGAAATAATAATCCCCAGATTTCACCCTAATAGGTTCAACTAAAGGTTTAAGATGAAACTTCGTCTTCAAATGGTAAACACTCAATTGCCATATGATGCCAGGAATGCTGGCATATACCTATGATCCCAGCACTCAGAAGGTAAGGATACAAGTGTGAAGGCATGCTTAATTACATACTGATTTCAAAGGGCCAGTGTGAGTTATATAGTGAAACTCTGTCTCAATAAATGAAGAGCTGGTGATATAGCTCTTTGTAGTAGCAAGGCCCTGGGTTCCATTTTCATTGTCACAAAAAAAAGGATTCAGTATTAAACCACGCTACAGCGTAGAAGAACCTTGAAGATACTGTACAATGTGAAAAAAAGTTAACGACAAAGACCCCATATTGTATGGTTCTATTTAAATTAAACGCTCGGAGTAGATAAGGCCAGAGACAATATGTGTGACAGTGGTTGCCAGGAGCTAAGGGTTGAGAAGGATGGGGAATGACCTTGTAGTAGATACAGGGCTCACGTTGGGAGCAATAAAAATGGTTTAGAACTAGGCAGAGGTGGTGATTATCCAGCATTGAAAGTCTACTTCGCAACAGCTGTGTACTTCAAAATGGTTTCCTGTTACATAATGCCACATACAAAAATGCTATGCACAAAAACTTTACATACAATTTTCCAAAGTAACAAAAAGAGTACCAAAAAGCTGGCAACCCAGAAAGGACCTTCAGGATAAAGGTTTCTTTGGCCGCCACTTCCACACAGAGAAACGACCATTGGGCATGGAGCTGGTAAAGATCATTATGCCGCTCCCACTGGGCACTGGATGGAAATCAGTTGCATGGAAGAGATTTGGACTGTGTAGCGAGGGGAAATTGAAGAAAACACACTGGATTCTCGCTCTCGTGCACAAAAAGGCAGAAACTGCCAGGAAAATGAGAGCTAGCCCATGGAAATGGCTAGGAAGCACTTTGTGTCCAGAGAGAAGTGATGCTTGTAAATCATTATTACATTTAGTCTGTGTGTGTGCACCCAAGCACACCAGTGCATCTGTGGAGATTCAGTTATCTCCTTCCGTCACTTGGGTCTCAGGCTTGTCGGCCATCTTGCTCCTCTGTCGCTTGGTTTCTTTCACCTTCAATGTCTGCATTTTTTTTTAAGTCTGGCTTCTGTTGGTTTGTTATTTGTTTGCAACATAAACCATGATTGCTAAAAAAAAATAACATTGATCACTTGATGAAGGTGTTTGTTATATGCCAAATCCCTCACCAGAAAGCTAAATGATAAATAATTTGAGATATGCCTTTTTAATTTTATTTTTGTAAAGATTTATCTATTTTTATATTATGAATTTGGGTGTTTTGCCTATTTTATGTATTGTATCCAGTGGGTGCCTGGTGCCTGAAGAGGTCCAAACAGGGCATCAGATCCCCTGGAACTGGAGTTAGAGATGATAGTGGGCCACCATGTATTTGCTGGAAACTGACTCTGGCCCCCTGCAAGAGCAACAAATGGATCATTTTAACCCATGATTCATCTCTCTAGCCCCAAGATGTGCACTTTTAATGTCTCTATTTCCCATATGATGCTTTTTACTTCCAGCAGGATTCGTTATAACCTTCACAATGGTGATGCATTCTCCCCCAATCCCAGCAAGATGGTTTGTGGGAGTGAAGGCACCTCCATGATAGCACCTTATGAGGGGACTCAGCTACAATCGGACAGCACACCAGTATTCCCGGCGAGGGAAAATCTTCAAAGGTGAAATGTGGCACAATTCACTCTGAAAATCTTAGTTTACAAAGTACACCCATGGTAACCACCCTCAGGAGCCTTTTGTTTCTAAGGAAACACTAGAGTAATAGGGCTGTCGAAGAAGTTTTCAGAAGACACTAAAAGCAACAGCTGGATCAACAACCTATTTGCTGGGCAAAAATGATCTCGTTTATCTTAAAAGTAGATCATAAGGTCTGTGGATACAGCTCAGTAGTAGAGTGCTTCTCAGTAGAGCATGCCACAAGGCCCTGGGCTCTTTCCGGTTACAATGCAACTATATAAAGGAGGAGGAGGGAGAGGAGGAGGAAGAGAAGGGGGAGGAGGAAGGAGAGAAAGAGGAGGAGGAAGAAGAGGAGGGGGTGACAGGAAGAGGAGGAGGGACAGGAAGAGCAGGAAGAGGTTGGAAGATGGTCTTTGTTTTTCCGTTTGCTCCCACCTTCAGTGTTTATATATTCAAAGGGTTTTCCAGTCACCTCGCATCCGACTGGTGTGCAGAAACATCAGCTTTAGCTGGGGAGACACTACTTGAAATTTTCCCTCTATTCTTCTAGGGAAAGTAGTCACAATAGTTTGGGAAATCGTGGCTAAAAAGAGCTAGGACCACTTAGAAAAGCTGGAGGGAGCCAGGCCTTTTGAGTTGACCCGATGACTACTTGGGGCTAGGTGGTGGGTGAAGACAGGAAGCTTCCTGGAGTCAGTCTAGTCAGTAAGGCAGCTCCAGGTTCAGAGAGAGACCAGCCTGGAGGATTAAAGCAGAGAGGAATTGAGGAAGTGACCCTCAACCATCAACCTCTGGCTTCCATGTGCTCATGCATCCCATGCCCTCAACCCTCACAAGGATACAGGTGTGTGTGTGTGTGTGTGTCTCAAACACATGTACCACATGCAGAGGCCCGAGGACAAGTGGTTACTTATAGGAGTCAGTTCTCCCTTTCCATGATGTTAGTTCTGGGATTCCAAACTCAGGTGGTCAGGGTTTGGCACCAAGCACTTTTCCTCACTGAGTTCCCTCACTGGCTCTGGACAAGAGACTCTCAAGAACTATTAACAATTTGCTTCGGGGCAAAGGGAGTGGAGGTTCCATTTATAAAGCAATGTTTGTACCAGAAACACATAGTATTACTTTTATGCTAATTTAAAATATTTAGTTTTACATTTTACCTTTCAGGCATTTAAGAAATAATTACTTTTTTTCCTAATCAAGAAACTTTCCCCAAAACCCACCCTAAAGTAGTTGATAGGCCCGTGAAAGCAACAGAATGTGACCTGGTTCTTGGGGTGTAGTAAGAAAACACCTTTGGAAGGAAGTGAAAGGCACCGCCCAGAGGCCCAACCCAAAGACTTCCTGCTTTTTTGCAAGTAAAAGAACTTGTGTTCTTAAAGGAAAGGAAGACAGCTCTTGTCCTATCTGTGGCTCTGAACACTCCTAAAGTCAATGAACCCTTGGGCTACTGCGCATCCGACTCCGTTCTAGAACATACCTTTGGTACCCACAATTGAAGCAATCTAGACCCCATTAACAGCATTCTGATTTTGGCAGTAGCTCCTTAGATGGCTTCCTATAAAATGGAGCCGATCGCTACGTTTGCTGAACTGCTTCCTATTTTCAGTGAGGTGGGGAAACTGTCCCTGGGGTCACCTAGTGTGTGTGTGTGTGTGTGTGTGTGTGTGTGTGTGTCCAAATACTCTGTGAGAAGTTTCTTGAAGTAGAGGCCCTGGCTACCAGGCTGCACCATTGCACAAGGGCACATTCATCGAAGTGTTTGGTTTTGTTCATTTTTCATTAGTTTGTTTCTGTTAACTCATTCGTGCCCCATGGCCCAGAAAGCCATGGAAGGGTGACACTAGACAGCCAGCATCTTCCCTGTAAGTGAGGAAATGTGGCATATGATAAGTGATTTGTACAAGGACTTTAGGCAAACAGTGAGGCCAGAAATAGGTCCCAAGCTCAGCAGAAGGGTTCTGGGTTGGTGGCCCCACAGGCGAGGGTCTGCGGTTTCCATGGTTTCATCATCTCTCAGCCAGCCCTCTCAGCTAGCCGTTTATGTAGAAGGAAGTTTCCACAGACTTCTTCTACGCCTGCCCCAAGTGAATGCCAATGAGGTGCTGAAGAAGGGCGCTGTAAGGGAGGGACTCACGTGGAAGGGGGAGGCTGGCAAAAGAAGTGAAGCCCCAGGGAAGGGGTGCTATTTCCCCTCTCTTCCTCTGAGCCATGCATTCCTGCTTCCCTGCCTTGTACAGCTGGATGGCATGGAGGATGAAAGGAAGCCCATGGGTTCCAAGCGTGAAGCACAATCTTAGCCTCGCCCTACTGGGGAACTCTGCGTGGTCTCATTCAGCAAAGCATTTCCAAGAGCCCGCTATGGACCAGGCAATGTGCCATGTGCTGTTGATTTGCTCGCCCTCTCCCTGTTGGGTCAGGTCTCCTCGATGGTAGGCTAAGTCTTAACAGTGGTTGGTGTCTCTAGGCAACAGCAACATCCACCCACCACCAATGATGCTTGTTGACAACGAAGCAAGTAACTGAACTGAGACTGCAGGACTTGAACCCTAAATTATGAAGGGTAGACTTGTTAGTTTAGAGAGATCTTTTAAAACAAAAGTATAGACATGGGTCTGCTGCTCTTTTTGAGTGGCCTCAGGCTTCCCACATTCTGCCAGAGATCTTCTTGGTAATATCGGCAGCAGAATGGAAGGGCATGATCCCTTCTTTCTAGGCTTCTAGGGAAGTCATGATGCTTGGACCCAAACTGACATTTATGGTGTCTTCCATCCACCTTGGAAAAAGATAAATACGATAATAATGGGATAGTTGTATATGTAGATGCTGCTGAAAGTCGTTGAAGGTCAATGTAGTAAACCTGGAGGACAGGATAATGGCTGATGTTTATGGTCTGCTTACTGTACTCAGGAGGCTAGTTAAAGCATCCCTTGTCTCACCTTCAGAAGCAGATTGTATGATGATGGAGATTACCCATGCTTTATGAAGGAAACTTTGCTACCTACATGCCTCAAATCCTGGACATGCTAGTAACTAGGAGCTGGGACTTGAAACCTGGCTGCTGCGTTTGTGATATTCTGCACCCTTGTCTCCTATCTAGCTTGAGAAAAGAGTCTTGGAGCTATTTGCAAAGTTAATTTTCTTTCTGATTTTGTTTTGCTTAATTGCACTGTTTGTTTCTGTCAGCATTTCCCATTGTTATTGTTATTATGTGATATAATTATATGCAAGGAACAGAAGCAGAGAACTGATTATGCCTCTGAAAATCAAAAGGGGATATTTGGGGGGAAAACCAAATTGAGAAATGTCTGAGTTTATGGCTACTAACATCTGTTCTTTTAAGGAACTTCAATTGGTATTGTATGTGTGTGCGGGGGGGGGGGGGGGGGGGGGGGGGGTTTTTTTTTTTTTTTTTTTTATTTTTTTGTTTATTTTTTTTCCAAAGACTTTTTATTTCCAGAAGAATGTGACTGTCATTGCCATGTGAAAGACATAACCTGTAAGTCATGGATGATACCCCAGACAGGTTCCATCTTCTCCCAGACAAAGATACAAGGCAGCAGTATGTATGATTATGTTCCTTCCTCCCCATCCACTATATCCAGAGCAGAGGCCGAAGCCATTTTCACTGGCTCCAGTGTGTGCCCATGTGTCCTCTTCCCCATCTCTACTCCACCAGCTTCCTTCATCCACCCCTGGGAAGTTCTCCTAGGGGCCCTTGCTATGACCAGCTGTGATCCACACTGCCCCCTAGGGCTACCTCCCTGACTTGTGTCTTGGCCACCCCTTGCTTCGGAACTTAGCAGTACTTCTTGCCCCAAAAAGCAGGACAAAGAAGGACTTCTGGGGCCACTGGTTGCAGCCAGTACTATGTGATAGCACTTCCACTTCCTCTAAGTTAGCAGCACTTTAGCCAGGAGGGGTTAGCGTTCCTTCCTCCTAATTCCTCCACAGGTCTCCATTTCCACAGTGCTCTCTAGTCTAGCGCTGCCTTACCCTACTTTCAACTTCCCCAACGTTTACCAAGCAGCCAAAGGGTATTCCTGTAAAAGTCTGGAGCCAAACTGCTAAAATACATATGCTCATTCTGCCCAGGAGTGGCTTCCTAAGTGTGTCACTTACATAGTGGCTCAGCACCCAAGCTTAGGAGGGCTCTGGGCTTGGTAAAATATTAAACTGCCACTATTCTGATATTCTTTTTTTTAAAAAAAAAATGATAGTATGTATTAGTTGTACTATTTTCAGGAAATCCAAGGTATATAAATATTCATAAACTAAATCCATACCCTATACTATATATATAAAAAATAAATTCAAGCAGTGAACATCAAGGAAGAGGCAGCAGACAGACTGTACAAAGATGCGGAGGGGCGCTGTGACACACGGTCCTCTGGACTTGACGACCAGTGCGGTCATAAACCTGCACAGCTGTGGTTAGCTGCACGGTCCTGCCACAGGGGGGGCAGACCATCTCCAGGCTCCACTTCGTACGGAGAAACTATTGACAGTAGATAGTTGCTAGGGGATGAAGACTCATTCCTTTTTAGGATGTGGCTACAAGCAGATTTCCAGTGCTCTAGCGGAGTCCCCGCACTCATACAGATGGGCAGCACCAACTGCACTTGGTAAGTTATTTTTTTAAAAAAAGATATGGAGCTGGTAGGGGAGCAATTGAAGAGGATACGGGGAAATGTGGAGGGAGAAATGGGCCTAAATGGGACATTTCGTTGTATACACATGTAACATTCTTAAGAATAAAGAAAATTTACAAACAAATACATTGCACACATAAACATAACATCACAAAACTTATAGAAGTAAACATAACAGAGAATCTTTTCGACTACCCACTAGACTAATAGTTCTGCCTTTGTTTGTGTGTGGAGTAGTATCATTTATTTGTTTTTGACATAGGGTTACTCTCTGTCTCCTAAGTTAGCCTGGAATTTGTGATCTCCCTGCCCCAGCCTCCCCACCCTGAAAAAACTGAGATTATAGGAATATACTATCACATGCAAGCTAGCAAATTGTTACTGAAGTCACATCCCATAAAAGAAAACATTGAAAAGTTCAGTTTCAAAATCAAATACTTCCGCTCCTGAAAAAGGCGTTGGTGAAAAAATATAAAATTATGGAATAAGGAATATTTGCAAATGTATATCTGATATAGAATTTACCCAAAATGTGATCAAAAGGACAGTGTCTACCCATCACTAGACAAGGTGGTACATGGCTATAATTTTAGCGCTTGTGAGGCTGGGGCAGAAAGGAGTATTATGTGATAGCTACCTAAGGAGATACTCTAAGGAAAAATAATGTAGGTCCAGTAATACAAACAAATACATTTTTGAGAAGGTAATTCACAAAAACAAAAATCAAAAGAGGTGTGCACACAAGCACAGGAAAGATGCTCGGTGACATCCAATGCAAATCCAGCTGCTTCTGCCATCTTGAAATCCTGGGGTTTGGGGAGAAAGAATGCTGCTAGAACAGGGTGAGTGACAGTGGAGATGTCACTAAATAAAACCTCTCATCACCCCCTTTCCGCTATTTTCTTTTATTTGACAGGGTCTTGATTTATAATTCGGGCAGGCTTCGGGCCTCCAGTTGGTGGAATTTATAGGTAGGAGCCACCACCTGGCTCCAGGAAGCAGCCGCTCTGTGAGTTGATCGTGTCCCACAGCTGTCACATGACAGAAACGGCGACGTGATTCACTTTCACTTCCCATGAGAATGTGAACTTTCCCAGTGGCCCTGCCCCTTCTTAGCACGTGGGCACATCTGCTGGCCATGGATTATGTGGCAGGACTCAAAAAGCCTGCTCCCACATCTATTGTTCCTTTCCCAAACGTCTTAGTAGTAAGCCGAGCCCAAGGCTTCTCGCACTTGATAAACGAGAAGAGTAAGCAAGCAACTGGTCTAAGGGCCCGAATCCACTTAGGAGCTTGACTGAAACCAAGATGCCTGCAGCAGTCTGTGCTTCCTGGGACTCATCCATCACCTGTTTCCTTACCAAAGAAAATGCTAACAGGCACAGCTGGTCTCTGAGGGGAGGGCTGCTTTTGTCACCCAGCTGTGGTTTCCGCTTCAGATCCCAGGATGCCTTGCTGTAGGGCTGGGTAGCCCCTACGCTACCAAAAAAGAAAAAAGAAAAAAAAAGAAAAAAAAGCTGCTTTACATTGCTCTGCGGCGTTTAGGGGTTGGCACCCCATTCCTGGTGGCGAGGCATTGCCTTGCTGTTGCTAAGGGCAGCTTTCAATCACCCCTTCATTTATTCCCACAGGCATACATTCCAAATCTAGTAATTTTGCTGTGATCTCGAGAAGAAGGAAGTACGGGGGTGGAGAGAGATGAAAAAAAAAAAGTGACAGAGGTATTCATTTTATCCTTAGGGATTAGGGGAAAGGCGGAAAGCTTTTCAGAGAGTCACAATCATAGGGGAAGTGCTAAGAGCCAGGTGTGGGAGCCAAGGAAGAGAGCCAAAGCCTGGATAGGGCAAGAAAGAGACTGGCCCTCCAGGAGAGGGCAAGGGAAACTGGCAAGCGCTACCAAACAGGGCTTCTCCTCACCCCACTATTTCTCCGCAGGTTTAGCCCTCCATTAGGAAAAACCATCCGGGAACGTTTTATTTTCCTTGATAGATAGCAGAGGGGAGCAAAGAAGCTCACCCCGCTTTTGAGCGGGTGGCCACCCTGGTGTGGTCAGCTCGGTGTACCCTCAACTAGCTTTGGGCTTTCTACCACACCCGCACAACCATTCCCTCCTCTTGGAACGCTGACCACCTACCTCTGAAGGCTCTAGCTAGTTTAACTACCTAGGGAAACCCTGGGACGCAGCAGCGAATTCAGCTGCAGCCACTAGACTATCGAGGTGGAGGGGAAATGGCACTATCAGTGCGGCCAGGGGAAATGGCACATCACCAGGCTCGCCTGGGGCACTGCTGACCGGTCCGAAAGCAAGTGTGAAGCACCAGCTGCGCGTGGAAACCATGAATTCTTCCCCCTCAGCTGTGGAGGTTTAAAGGGATTAGGTGTGAACAATGGCCAGGTCCTGCAAAAGTTAAAAAAAAAAAAAAGCCACAGGACTTCCTCTTAAAGACCTGCAGGTCTTTGAAGACAATCAGACACAAATGCTCTTTCAGAAAGGGACAAAGCAAATATCAAGCTGACCTTTTGCGAACAATGTAAATCGTGACAGTTTGGGGCAGCGGTGGAGGTGGGGTGGACACAAAAAGACTTTGCTTGCTACTGTGTGGCAATCAGGCTTCTATTCTTCTCGCCCTTGCCTAAGGCTGCCTTGTTAAGGTTTGCCGTTTATTTTAAACGTGCCCAAGGTGGAAGGAATCTAAAATGGTTAGTGGGTGAGGGGATTAAATGAACCCAGGAGTCAAGACAGAATGCCTGGAACCTCTCGGGTTTCTCAGAACCAGCTCAGGACCTGCCCGCCAGGACCTGGGGGGCAGAACCGGTATCAAGAGAGTGGCTTAAAACTACTCCGGGATTGAGTCCCAAGAAGCCAAGGTGAGATCCATTACTGGCCAGTGAATTTTTGCCTAACCCTTGCTTTGCACTTGCAGTTCTTAGTAGGCCTTCTGGGTGTGCTGGGACAAAGCTATGTGTGTACTGTGTTCGGTTACCGTGGAGGCCCTGGCCTCCCAGAGAGGCCCCGGGGTCCAGGTGGGTGTTGCAGAGAACAAAGGTTCCCCACACCTAGAAAACCAGTTCTCCCAGCCTTCCAGCCACAGCAAGTGACATCACCAGGAGCCAATCGAAAATTCGCACTTGAGTTTACTTGTTAAGGCCTGAATTGATTCCACGTAGACTGCACAGCTGACCGTGTAGAGCCACCTTCCCAACCAGCGCTCTGTTTAGGAGCGAGCTGATTCACGGGGAATTTGGCTTTCACGCAGATTTCTTAGGCAGGTGAGGGGCCAGGTTTCAGATTCCACACTGAAGATACCACACCCTGAGCTCCTGGCTAGCCCAAAGCCGGAGCGCCAGACGGACCTGTACTGCCATCTTCTGGTAGTGCTTGGTATTGATTAGTGAGAGTGGCAAGATCTCTCTGGGAAATAAAGCCTGAATACCCTAGGTTGTTGCTCCATTTTACCAGTCTCCGTAGACAAAAAGACCCCTTCCAATATATCAAATAAGGTAACCATGAAAGGAAGACACTCTGATCTGATGGTAGTGTACCTTGATTTTCGTCTATATTTATCTGAATCTGTTTGTTTGGAGACACTAGTCTCCTGTAGCTCAGGTTGGCTTCTACCTCACTCTGAAGGTGACCTTGAGCTTCCCACCCTCCTGCTTCCACCTCCCAAGTGCTAGGGTGACTGGCCAGTACCAGCACATCTAGTCTACGTGATGCTGGGGATAGAACGTTTGTGCATAGCCTTTGTGCATTCTAGGAAGGCCTTTACCGACTGACCCCAGCCCCCCCTTCAGTTTTGTAAAGCCCTATCTATCGTCCATGGGAAGAGGCAGGTATGTGATGAACTTGAGGATGCCCTTGACGGAGTCCTGAGTCTGAGAGGTTTCTTGTCCCATACTTTTCACTGTAGATGTGGTCTTTACAAAGGCCTTCGTGATGTTTTGGAGAGTTTTCAGTTTATGTATGGTAACCTGTGAGTACAAACGGGCTTTGCAGACTGGATGTAAAAACAGCAGCCCCTTAGGTCGATCCAGACTAGTAGACATTGCATCTGCAGAAGCATCCGCATGTCATGCCCAATGACTTCTCCTTCTCTCTCCTAGTCAATGTAGCCACGTCAGTGGAAAGAGACCATGCATAGCCCTCTCTTGTAGTTTCAAAACATGTTTTAAGGCAAAAGGAGGCAACTCTCGTAACATATAGCCATCAGATACAGACTTCCATGCTAAGGAGTTAGTATATGTTTTTCTTTTATATATTGCACACAAGGGAGGGCCTTACTGGCCATGCAGCAGCAAGGTTGAAATGCTGTGGAACACCTTAAAATGCATAGGACCGTTCTCTCCAATCTTCAAGAAAGAAGAATGCCATCCAAGAGGTCAACAGTGCCATGGTAACAGAGTTACCCTAAAATAGCTCACCAACACCTCAAAGCCAACATGTCAATGCTTATGACTCTGGACTTGTCGACTTCTACAACTGACGATGTCCTCTGGTTCCCACACTCATAGTCACACATTCGTGAACATTCAAGTGCACACACAACCAAAACATTTGTGTAGAAATAGACTATTGCTACCCCATGCTCTTATTTTGTTCTTTACATTTATTATTACTATTGTTATTTAGTTTTATGCATATAGGTTTTGCCTGCATGTATGTCTGTGGACACCTTATGTGCCTGGTGCCCACAGAGCCCAGAAAAGGGCATCAGATCCACTGGAACTGAAATTACATATATCTGAAAGTTGCCATATGCATACTGGTAATTGAACCCTTGGCCTCTTCAAGAGCAGCAAGTACTCTTTTTTTTTTTTTGTTTTTTTTTGTTTTTTTTTTTTTTTTGTTTTTCGAGACAGTTTGGAGCCTGTCCTGGAACTAGCTCTTTTAGACCAGGCTGGTCTCGAACTCACAGAGATCCGCCTACCTCTGCCTCCCGAGTGCTGGGATTAAAGGCATACGCCACCACCGCCCGGCTAGCAAGTACTCTTAACCACTGAGCTATCTCTCCAGCTTCTTGTATTTAATTCTTTAAAATATTATTCCTTCTGTTTATACTTACCAGGCAGTTAACGATGGCCATCTTCATCTGCAGGTAGACACTTATCCATATGAATATTTGCTACATTCATATACATGTTTCACGTTATTTTTCTAATATAAATAACATCTCCAGAACATCCAACTTTAGTTGGATCCGATTTACTGTTTCAAAGGGGGAAATTCTTTCAAGATCAGAAACAAATTGCTTCAGCTATTCCCACAGAATTCAACGACTTTGAAAGTACAGTATTCCCTAGTAAGTCACCTGATACCTTCTTCAGTTCCAGCAAAGGTTAGTCTAGTCCATGGCAGGGAGTATTAGGATTTTCTTTCAGTCTGTGTTAAGTGTTGGATTTATCCAATCTATGACTAATGGCGTTAATGTTATTTGATATGAATGCTAGCCTCTTCACCCTGTACCAAAGAAGAATCTATCATGGTTACTCTTTTATTATTCTTGATTTCTGAAGTATGGTCCACATTACTGTCACCTGCCTCTTTGGAATAATGCCCCCCCCCCCCCCCCCCGAAAGCTAGTATGTTCGGATCAAGTAACATATCAATGGAATATAAACAGCTCGAGGAATGTGGCCTAAGGTCTCCGCCCCCCTTTTAAAAACACAAGCATGCATGGCTTAATAGTGACCATCTACATATGCCTGGGACCATTTTCAAGGACTTACCAGGCTAAGGGGCTCTCCATTGGATCTTTAAATGAACATTTTGGAAGAGAAACCCTTGGTTTCAGTACATACCTTGTAAGCCTGCCCCATTTTTTTTTTTTAATTCACAGACAAATGTTTAGGGAAGCTGTATAGTTCCATTTTCTGCTGTGGGAGCTCCTTTGATCAATAGCCTTTAAGAGACCACACCCTAGTGGGCTGGTCTCTTAAAGGCTATTGGCTAAAGGAGCTCCTGCAGTAGTTCTCTTTTGGGGTTCACAGTGCAAACTAGAACTATGTGATAACCAAGTGCTTCCCAAGCCTATTGCCCTGAAGAAGAGTTTTCTTTATCACACTCATTCCACATATGAATGAGACTATGGAAACTTGCCACCTTCTGCCCTGTTATTCTTGACTCTCTCTTTAGATCCCCTTCTTTTTCCACACATTCCCTCTTTCTACTTTATACATAATATACAACCCAGTAAATATGCACACATGCCATAAGTAAGAGAAAATACAGTATAATTGCCTTTCTGAGTTTTGCTTACTTTTCTTAAACTGGTTTCACTTAATTTTCTTTCTCTTCTCTCCATTCATTTTTTTTTCTCATAAATGAACTTACTTCATTTTTGTTTGTGACTGGATGTATTGTGTATATGTACCTCCTTTTCCTCATTCATTTTTATGTGGATGGACATATAGGCTGATTCCACATTTTGGTTGTGGCAGTGTACCAATAAACATAAATATTTGAGTATTTTTGGGTTATGCTCACATAAAGTCCTTTGATTATATACTCTGGGGTGGTTAATGTGGATTGTATAGTAGTTCTAATTTTAAGATTTTTTTAAGGATTATTTTTCATTTACATTATTTGTAACATGCCGTGGAATTAACTTGGGAGCAATGATGCTTTGAATAATGTCATCAGACCTGAGAACTACATGAGGAAGCCAACACTAGCCTTCAACTCTGAATCCAGACTCATTGGCATTCTACAATTTGTTTATGAGCCATCAGGCAGTCTCTACTGCACAGTAATCCCTGTATCAGCTTCTATTTCGTGACACATTCTCTCTAACTTCTCTTTGTCTGTACTGTGCATCCTTTGAACCACAGCCAAATAGTCAGATAAGACTACAAATGATTCTTGCCCAGACACTGAGCCTTGTGGAGTCAACATGATAGCACCCAAGACTGTTGATGTTCTGTATTGCCCTAGACATGATCAACCTACTTGTTACTGAGAATAAGAAGGGAGACAATGGATTGCTAAATAAGTTTGGAGGGTTTTTCAATCCGCTCTTCCTTTATCTCAATGCCAGAAATGAAGAGAGTGGTTTGTGACTTTCCTTGGTACTCATTGAAATAGTAGATAATGTTATAGCTTTAAGTTCAAGAATACTGCCACTGAAGGCCTGGGCATAATGTAAAGTCAGGAGTTCTCAGAGCATCCTAATTATGTGTGTTGGAACCTTGATTTCTAAACAAGGCAGCATTGGGAGGTGGAGTCACATGGGGGAGTTTAGGTTATAGAGGCGAGGTCTTCTAGAATGCTCTATGCAAGTGACTTCTCATTCTTGCAGGATTGGATTAGTTTTGTTGAAAACGGGTGTCCTGGTAGAAGCAGATGTCACCCCAAAATTGTTAGAAAAGTTGTTGTTTTGAGACAGGGTTTTTCTGTGTAACAGCCCTTGCTGTCCTGGAACTAACTCTGTAGAACAGGCTGGCCTTGAACTCACAGAGGTGTGCCTGTCTCTGCTTCCCAAGTGCTGGGATTAAAGGCATGCACCACCATCAAGCTGTCAGGGACCAGCCACAACAAAAATACCTCTTGCCAGGGTAGTATTGAAATTCACCCGCAATTAATTTTTCCAATTGCTTAAAATACTACGATCCCAAAAGGTAGGAGTAAGACAAATGACCGTGATAACACGACACAAGGAAATGAACAGACCAGTTGAAGGTCACGGACTACATTTATAGTTAAACATTCTGTTGCTAGAACAAAACAAGTCACCAAGTCATGCTCACACCCTAGACCAAAGCGTTCTGTAGACAAACCACTCCCTGGGTGGAATCCAAAGTTATCTCCTGAAGGGAACTGGAACTTAATTGGATCCTAAGACTTCTGTTTGAGGTAGGAACAGATCTACTTCTCTATTCCAGGAGCACAAGGTCTGACTATTATCCACCAGTGTTGTAAATAACCTTGAGAGAGCAGAACTCTTTGATCTACACCTAGGTGGGAACTTTGTTTGGGGTAGAAACACAATAATCTTGAAGGAACTAGAAGTTCCAACTCTCTGACCTTTGGTCAACGTGGAAATGAGCTCACAGTTTTGGGCCTCCACACCATGCCCAGCTAGAAAAATTTTAATAAAGAATCAGAGAAACACAGCAGCTGAATTCTTAGTGTGATCATGCTATAACAGTTAAAGAGAAATTACCTAGCCTTGCTTTTGTACCGTTTGTGGGAGGGCATATTTAAATAGGTAAGAATTGAGTAACTCACTGTCTTGCTAGGTAGTAAATTTCATTGTCCTTCCTGAGACTGGGTATTTGGGGGGAGGAGCTAGGAGCTTTAAAGTTAGACTTTAATAGTTTATGTAGTTTAATAGTTTACAGTCAGCTCTGTATGGTTTGGGTCAAACTGCTGGAGAGTGGGAGATATACACTTTACTCTTAGCCCCTTTATTTTTTGTCATTTTGTCTCTACAACTGTCCTTCATGTTTTGCCTCTTGTATACACTCCTATCTGCCCTTCTGCTTTCTCCTCTGAGTGGAGGTGACATAAAGCTCTCACTAATTCTGGTCACTGATCTCGGACTTTCCAGCCTCTGAAACAATGAACTCAAAAGTTTCTTTTATTATTATGAATTCCCTAGTCTCAAATATTCTTGATAGTAAGAGAAGTTAAACTGAGACACACAATTGATGCCAGGAACCTGGCATTGCTATAAATATGTAGCTATTTATATACTGTAGATATATAGACATGGCTTTGGAAGCAGCTCACAGTAAGAAGTGTGGAATTTGGAGACGCCTAAGCAAATTCTAGAAGGTCATAAACACAGCATTGATAGCAATTCTCATGAGTGTTCCTAGGTCAAGAGGATTAAGTGATTTCAGGATCATCTTAGAAGTTAATCAAGTGGTTATTGTAGCCTTGCTGTTCTGCTGTTCGAACCTGAGTCCCTTAGAATCTGTGTACTCCCCTGGGAAGAATGCCTTGCTTGGTCTGCCCAATGAATGCTACAGGCAAGATGTTTCCTCTCCTTCCTCCGCGACCCAGCTTATCTCACTCAAGGGCATTAACAAACAGCAGCCCCCAGTTGGCTATGTGACCTTCTGCATCCTCAGCACGCCTGGTGAGAGTGATGAGAACCGCTCTATGTTTAGCATTGTTTCTCTGTCCCTGCTGCTTTGAACCCTGAGCTATCCTGGAACAAAATCTAGAGAGATGCCCAGCAAAGGGCTCTGAAGCAGCATTGTCTTGAGTCCCCTGATTCTGCTGAATCTCAAACTCACTTAGATTCTTTGACACTGGTCACTGAAGGGGCTGCAATAGGTTATGACCAGAATGCTGATGGAAACGTGGACAAATAAACTCCATTCGGATGAGATGGTAGGTGGGAAACAGGAAGTCTTAACTTAGAACTAGAATAACAGTTATTTTTATTACACAGTTGCAAATAATTTGGTTGCATTGTGTTCATGCCCTTATGTCCAGGCTTCTGGAAAGGCGGAATTTGTCTGTTTTTTTTTTTTTTTTTTTCAGGATTCTATGCTGCCCTGGCTGGACTAGAGCTCACTATGTATACCAGGCTGAGCTCAAATGTGCAGCAGCTCTCTTGCCTGTCTCTAGAGTACTGGGATTACAGACACACATCAGCACACCCGGCCTTCAGAGGTGTATCTTAAGAAGGATGGCTAGGACATGCAAGGGCCTGAAATATCTAAGCAGGAAAAGGCTGAGGAAGCTGCGTTGTACCTTTAACCATTATGACAGTTAGTGCTCATGCTCAACTTGACAGGGCATAGGAAACACTTAGAAGACAAACTTCTGGGCTTATCTGTAAGGGAGCTTCTAGACTGGTTCACTGAGGAGCTAACTATGAGGGGCACCATTTCTCGGGCTGGAGTCCTGAACTGAATCAAGAGGAGAGACAGAGCTGAATGCTACGCCATTCTCCCTCTCCTGTTCTCTCTCTCTCTCTCTCTCTCTCTCTCTCTCTCTCTCTCTCTCTCTCTCCTTCTGACTTCAGATGCAATGTGCCCACCCGCGTCAAGATTCTGCTGGCTGTCAAGCCTGCCTTTCTAATGGTGACAAGCCCATCTGGAAGTGCAGGGCGATCCTTCCTCCCCTGAGCTGGTTCTTGGTGGGTGTTTAGTCACAGAGCAAAGAGAAAAGTAACTAATGCAACTGCCTACAGCAAGACGAGTGTGGGACGGACTGACCTAAGACAGAAATAGAATGACAACTAAAAGATCAGCAGAGTATTGAAAATGGAAAATTTGCAGCCTGTCTATAAAACAAACAAGAAACAAACTGACCCTGAGATGTACTGTTGGAGTATTGACAAGCAACCAGTGAGTAGAAAGATGAGCAGGGCGAGAAGAGAGCCAGGTGCCATGCATCAGAACAAAGACATTTCAGAGGATTTGAAGGTTGTCCCTCCCATCCCAGCAGCATTAGAGCCTTTAAGGGAAGAGTAGGCTCCCTGCCCAGGGCCACCTTGGACTCTGCTTCTTGCTTTTCAGCTGTGGTACAGGTGCATTCATGTGCAATTCAACCATCACTCGAGAGTGCACAGGCAATGAGCCTTGGCAGAGCCCATGTG